AAGTTTCTAATTGCTAATTATAATAACTAGTTATACTTCTCCAAAAGCGAAGCTTGTATGAAGAAATCCGAGAATGGAGTAATTAAAGAAAAGCTTAGTCTGCATTACAAATAGCATTTCTAATAATATAGAATAATTTAGTAATATTAATCTATTATTAATAATATAGAATATTATTTATTTAGAGAAGCTGCTATAGAAAATATTGATTTCAAGAACTCTAACAAGCATTATATCTGATTTATTATATATATATAAGATAATATTCAATATTAGCATATAAAATAAGTGCATGCTTGAATATAAAGAGAGAGCTATTAAGCTTATTTCAATATCTGTATTCAGCATTGCTTGTACAGATTTATTCTCTTTATCTCTTAGCTGTAGAAGAATGTATGCTACTAAAGTAATGCTTTTATCTTGAATGCTGCTAAGAGCAGTTATGAAAGCTATTATAGGAAGAAATAAGGATTTATTGAAAGCTTGAATCATATTAATAGTAAGCTTAATATAGCTAGATTTAATAATAAGAAACAAAGCTTGAACTGCAAATAATTAAGCTAGTTTCAAAAGATACTCAGTAATATTTCGAGTATTAATAATCTAATTATTAATAAGCTCTTCAAGCTAAGAAAGTATCGAGATTTCAAGTTTATACTGCAATAAATTAGCTAATTCAGCAGTATCTATCTTATACAAGTTCAAGCTGGTTTGATTATTGAGATTAACAACTTTTCGAGCTTCAGAGCTAACTTCTTGAAAACTATAAATCAGATAAGCTCTTTATTCTAATAACATAACTATCATCTCCTAGCCTGAAATCTTCAATAAGTAATCTAGAAACTGATTTAGAAGCTTATTACTAATAGCTTAAACTATTAGCTCTTTATTCAAACTATTGAATTGCTTGTTAGATTTCTCTAATTCAATATTTCCGAAATATATAAAAATCTTAATAATTCTTATACTTGCATCTCTTTCAATCTTATTATCATTATACTCAGCCTTTCTAATATAGCACTTCTTTGCTTTATCTGCATTTATCTGAGCTTAAATAAGCTTAATACTTATAGCATTAATGCTAAAAAGCTTTAGTAGATATAATTCAGCTTGAGCTGAAATAAGATATAACTTTTCTATTTGAATCTTATTAGCATTGCTAAGAATCTCAATATTATTAGTTCTATACTAATTATTGCATCTGAGAACGGAGTTGATCTCTTCTTACAATATCTTATTCTTAGCTATCTCAGAATCTCTACGCTATTTCTCATTCTCTTAAACCAAGCTAATATATCAAAAGATCCAAGAATTCTTAATATCTTTCAGCTGCTAATTCTTATAGAAACTGAGAATTAGATGAATTATACTGCTTTTAGAATTATTTCAAGTAAATATGATTTAGCTATATAATACTGGTTTTGATCTAGAGTTTAGAAACTCTAAGCAATTGCTAAGATGCTATTCTAGCTTTGCTAATACTGAAATATAGCAAATGCTATAGTTTATAATAGTATGAAGTTCTATATACTTATAAGCTCTATGAAACTTCGATTCATAGCTATAGCATCTGTATAGAATTTCATCCTTCTTCAGGATTTCATTAATCTTTGCTTGCTATATTTCAGAGTACTGCTCTTTCTTATTCTCTGAACTTGTATAGATAATACTTATCTGCAAGAAATTTGCATTTTCCTAAGAAGAATTTTTTGCAGAAACAGTTTAGAAATGCTTAATTAATTATAAGATTTTCTATAGAGCTTTGATTTAATTATATAAGATATTTTATATCTATTTAAGAGTATTAGTTTGCAGCTTTAAGGATTTTGCTATTACAATTTAATTAATACAGAGTTGCTTTATTATTAAAGCTAATTAGTTATATTCTTAGTTGCTCTTCTGAGCAGATTCAGCTTTTAAGATCTGCTTAGTTAGTTCAAGCTAAGCTTGCTAATCATAAGTTGATTATTGAAGCAGTTAATAGTATAATAGCTCTATTATTTGTTCTAATAGATTCATTAGTTAATTAGAAGCACTATATATTAAATATAGAATAGGAATAAGCTGTATCTAATTAAGGATTAGCTGAGATAGAAGTATAAAAGAATCTTGGAATTGAGTTTATTAATGAAGTTGAAGATTAGTAGTATTGGAAATAAATTAATCTTGAATCTTCTTCTAAAGTACTTTATAATGAATCTCTAATAGCTTTTCCATAAGATAAAGCTACTTCTTATTACTAATGCTTTCAGCAGTAATATTATAATTAGCTTAGAAATGCTTAATTCAGATTAAAGAAAGCTTCATTCATACTTCTGCTACAGATTAACTATCTCTAATCTTAAGATAAATAAGAGTATTATTATAATCTATAATAAATAATTAGAAGCTAGCAGCATTAGTAATGAAATAATTATTAATAATATTTAGATACTTCTGCTCAGAAGTATATACTTAAAGATAATCTTAAGAGCAATAAGCAATCAACAATTGCTCCTTCTATTCATCTCAAGTTTTAATACTTATAATAAATCTCTTTACTTCTTTAGCAACGATTATATTTATATAGAAGCTTTTTATAAAGTTAAGTGCTTAAGTATTATTAATCCCTTTAATCTAATGCCACTAGTTGAATCGCTTCAGCTATAAGAAGACTTCTATACAAGCAAATAATATCAATCCACTACTAGCAAGCTTACTGTAAAAGGGAAATCTGAAGTTCTAACTATAGTAATTGTTAGCTAGGTAGTCAGCTGAACTGAATATCTAATTGAAAGAGCTCTCAGATATAGAAGCTATCTTTCCTCTTGATTATCGCTTCCTCCGATATTTCTTTGCTTTTCTGATTCGAAGTCCTTGAATTGAGAGCGCTATAGCTGAAATGCTTTCCATATCCTGCAGAAAACAATACTATAGAAATTAAGAGAATTCAGATGCTTAAGAAAGATTCAGTTTATAAATAAAGCGTATATAAGATCTGTTTTATAATAAACAACAAGAGATTAAATTAGCTATTCTATATTGTACTAGAATTTTCTTTATTAATAGTTCTGCTAATCAATAGAAATATTTCTGATTAGATATAAAGTATTAATTAAAGTTTAATATCGAATGATATTATTATAATTCTTAATCTTTATTCCTTATATATACTAATAGTTTTTTATCTTTATTTTCTTATATTCTTTACTTTTGAAATAATGCAACTAGCAAGCTTTTGATTTAAAGAATTAATATAGCTAGATGTATTCAGATAGAGCATACTGATTAAACTATTACAAGAAGCATAGATCTTGTTAATCATATTACTTTTCTCTGTAGAATATTATTCATTAAAAGCATCTTATTCTATAATTTAACTATAAATCTATATTTAACATAATTAAACTTTCTACTGTAGCTTATACAGATCTAAGCTATATTAGCTTCTATATAGAATTATTAATTAATATGGAAAATATTAGAAAAAGGAATTCATTTCTTTATAATATTAGCTTGCAAGCTCAATATATCATTTACCAGCTTATAATCAGAACTTATACCACTCCTCCTCTATCCACCCATCTCCTTTCTACAAGAGATCTCAGGCATAACTCAGAGTTCAGATATGATATACAGCTTGTTATATAAGCGTAATAGATAAAGGAAATAAAAGAGCTTAGCAGGGAAAAAGAATACGCTTGTTTATAGAATAAACTTGCTGCTCTTACTAATCCTTACAAACTATAACGCAAACAGCTCTAAGCTACCAGCCTGAATAGCTAAGTCTGCATATACTGCATCATTGAACCAGAACTAGAACGCTGTTGCTCTCGAAAGAAAAAGGGATAAACAGCTGCTGAAGCAATGAGCAAGGGCTCGTATAATCCAAGCGTGCTTATACAGATGAGAATAGCAAACTAAGGCTATACAAGCGCAAGAACAGAGTGAAAAATCTGTCTTAGATCTGTTCAAAGAGTTCAAAATTGAAAGGAAGAGAAAGGATGCTTTTCTTGTTGCTTATAGCTAAAGAATTTGAAAAGTGGGTAGTATCCTTTATATGTATGAGGACCCTTAACCCACTATACTCCACGTTCCACGGACTACCACCCTGGCCACCACAACACCAGAACTAGAGCGCTATCGCTCTCGAAAGAAAAAGGGATAAACAGTTGCTGAAGCAATGAGCAAGAGCTCATGCAACCCAAGCATGCTTGTACAGATGAGGATAGCAAACTAAGGCTATACGAGCGCAAGAACAGAGTGAAAAACCTGTCTTAGATCTGTTCAAAGAGTTCAAAATTGAAAGGAAGAGAAAGGATGCTTCATTGTTGCTTATAGCTAAAGAATTTGAAAAGTGAGTGGTATTCTTTATATATATGAGGACTCTTGATCCACTGTACTCCACATCTCACGGACTACCACCCTGGCCACCACAATACTACGAGAATATTACAAGTTTAAGAAACTATTCCAGAAAGAATTGAATACGGGATTGCTAGAACACAGCTCATATAACCACGAGATCTCACTATAAGAAGAATAAAGCAGAAAGACACAAGCTTTACGAACTACTGCACCCCTTATCAGTACTTATGACTGTTTAGCAATCCATTAGTTTAAACTTCATTATTAAGCTATCTCTCTTACAAAAACTCTTAACTAAGATGCAATACAATAGCATTCTAGTAGTGATTTGCAAACTAAGTAAATATGCTTACTTTCTCTCCTATAAGAAAAGCAGTACAGCAGAAGAACTTGCATATACATTCCTTAGAATAATCATTGCTAACTACAGCATGCTAGAAGAAGTAATCTCCAATAGAAACAGAAAGTTCAACTCAAAGTTTTGAACTTTACTTATAAAACAGCTCGAAATATATTATAGAATATTTACAGCATTTTACTCACAAATAGATAAATAAACGGAAAGAATAAATTAAGTTATTAAATAATACTTATAATACTATATTAATTAGAAACAGAATAATTAAATTAATCTGTTGCTTCTTGTATAATTTGCTTATAATAGCGCAGATATAAGCATAACAAAGAAATCATTATTCTTTATATTCTATAAATATAATCTAATAGCTTATTATAAAGCATTGCTAGAAGCAGATGCAGAAACTGCAGATAAAAGAATTAAGAAGATTAAGAAAGTTCAGAAGAAATTCTAATCAGAATTACAATTCGTTCAAGAATAAATAATGCAGTATGCAAACTCCAAAAGAATTAAGAAATCAATTCTATAGAAAGAAGATAAAGCTTATCTATTTTAAAAAAATATTAAAATAACTAGATTTAGCAATAAATTTAATTACAAAAAGTTAGAATTATTCAAAATCTTATAACAAATCTCTTTGATTAATTATAAGTTAGTATTATCTTATAAAATGAGAATATATCCGGTTTTCTATATCTTACTACTGAAACTAGTAGCATAGGAAATACTAATAGATGATATAGCAGAAGTAGAAAACAATGAACTAGAGTATAAGATAGAAAAAATCCTTAAGCATAGAAGCACAGATAATACAAGGGAATATCTTATTAAGTGGAAAGATTACTCAGCAAGTAAAAACTCATGGGAATCACAGGGGAATGTTGAGAATGCTTAAGAAAGAGTAGCTGAGTATTGGAAAAGAAAGGAAACCAGTATCTAAAATAATCGCTCCGCCCCGAACCGAAACTCAGAAGCTTTGGGAACTTCACTCTTCAGAAGAGAAAGCTAACCAGACACGCTAGGATCAAGAGCTAAGAAACTCCAGTTGATAATCTCAAGATATCCCTGAAACATCAGACAAGTCTCCTCTTTACGAAGACTGCAATCCTCCTTATCAGCAAACTCCTCCAAGAAATTGAAACTACAACGAATCATTTCTGCAGTACGTTCCTTCAACAGCCTTTGCTGTTTCCGTATACGATCAAGACGAGCTTGCAACGCTAGCAAGGCTTGTAGAGCAGCAGCATTTGCTGACTCTGCCTTAGCTTTCTCGCTCAAAACTTTGCACTTTTTACGAATTAAATACTTCGCTGAAGAAGAAAATTAGTAATTACGGAGAATACTAAGGAACGAAGAAACTAATTAGCAGAAGCTGAGAAACAATCAGTATTACAGCTTTAGCTCAGAGAAATACACTTTCTATAACAAGAAGAGTTTTCAGCAAAACAACAGAAAGCTTTCATCTTCTAACAATAAGCTCAGCAAGACGATAACGCTCTTGAGTTTTCACCAAACAACTAGAATGCAATTTGTTGATTCTATTCAATATCTCGATTAGGAAAGCATAATCATGTATGCGAATAACTTGCTAGAATACTTACGGAAAATCATTAGAAACAATGATTAATAGAAGAGAGATAATGTTATAACTCATCCAACATGCAAATCACTAGCCAGAATACTCGGAACAGCTATCCGGAAAGACAGGAAAGGATTCAAACATCTCAAGGATTAAGGCTTACATAAGCAAGGATTAGGATTACAGGATTAGAATGAATCAGTAGCTGATCTATGGTAATCCGGATTAGTTGAATTATTCAGATAATCCAAGGAATCCAACAACTAACACTACTAACAGAACTGAAGAGCTGAATATATAAGAACATATTCATTCCCATTAGATAGATCTCGTATATAGCTCTTCAGTTGTCAATCTAAGTATTAGATTATTCTCTACTCTGATAGCTCCAAAGGCAGTGAATACTTGCATTGCTTATTGAGACTTGTATAGTTCTGTATTTAAGAACTTAGCACTTCGATACTGCTCTTGTTAGCATAAATCTCTCATATACTTGGGAATCTTCGGATTACTGCAGTGCTCATTATACTTAATTGTAAATCTGAGATAGTTAATTTTTTGTATATAAAAGTAATTCTTTGCAGATTTCATAAGAAGTTTTGCATTTTAAAGCATTTGCAATATTGTTTCTATATATTTCTTATATTCTTCAAGTATTCGAGAGTAGATAAGAATATTATTGAAATAAGCAATAATAAACTGATTCAGATGCTTGTATAGAATATAATTGATTATTTTCTAGAATGAAGCTAGAGTATTTGTTAAACTAAAGAGTATAATCAAATATTTGTAGTATTTGTAGCGTATTCTGAAAGCAGTTTTTCATTCTTCTTCTTCTTTTACTCTAATCAGATTATAAGCTTCTTTCAGATTCAGAACTATAAATTACTATACTTCTTGCAATCTATCTTATAATTTCTTAATAAATAATAATAGATATTAGTTCTTGATTATAATATTATTAAGTTATTTGTAATCAATATATAGCTTAAGCTTGCTATTTTTCTTAGATATAAATAGAATAAGATATTCTGCTAGTAATTGCAATAATTGTATATATTCTTTCTTAAGATTCTTGTTGAGATATTCTCTAAATATCTCTAGCTATACTTTGTTTAATTTATAAATAAGAAAGAATTTGAGCTATTTCCCTTTTTATAGCAGAATCTTATAATTATATAAGCTATATTCTAACAATTCTGTATTTAATTCTTTCTGAAATAGTTTCTTGAACTTATAATATTCTTATAATATGTTTGCAAGTATTAGTTCTGATCTCTATACTGTTTCTGCTTTCTGAAGAAATAATAGATATTGTTAAGCATGCTTCTTTTCTAATAGCGTTTTCGAGAGCTTTAAGCGTTTGCTCTAGGCTGAACTGAGTGCTTAAGAGCTTAATTTTAAGATTTTTTCTATATAGTTTTACAATTTATATTCTGAAGCTTTTTCTTGCTGCTCTAGAGCGAATCAACTTGCTGAGAGTCTCGCTTTCATTGTTTTGCTAATTTGTTAATGCTCTAATACTATTTGAATTTGCTTATTACTAGATCCTTCTTCTTAAACTGCTAGCTCTGCTAACTTAAAAGTATATATGAAGTTGTTTGAAGCTTCTTTTTCTGAGTATTCTTTAATAACTAGCTTTAATTCTGCATTATTAATTGCAACTATTCCTCTGAATATAGCTTGTTCTTATAAGATCTAGCTAGTAATTCAATCAATTCGAGAATTATGCTCTTTAAGCTATAGAAGCTTTATAATCAGCTTATGCTATGCTGTATTTGTAATATTAAAGAAAGCTTTGATTATGCATTCTTGAATTAAGATAGATAGATAATTAGTCTTTTTATTAATTATTTCTTAGTTATATACAACAGATTGTTCTTTTATAATGCTGAGAGTATATAAGCATCTCTTTTATTTCTATTGTAATTATATCTGATTGATAATATATAGAAATATAAAGTTTCTCTAAATGCTACTATTTAATAATATGCTATATTTGTATCCTTGAATATATATATCAAACTTAATATAAGCATAATCTATTCTAGAAGCTTTATATAGAAATCGTTTCAATCTGATTATCTGCAATTCCTTTATAAGCAATTCTATTCTTTTAAATTTATTAAGAACTATTTATTCTTCTAAGCTTGCTTTGCTGCTTCTTAAGCAAGCTTCTTAGCTTATTTTTGCTTGTATTATTATTATTCCTAATCTTTCTTTTATTAATATTAATTGCAAATCTTATCATTAATATAAATTATACAAAGCATTATTTTGCACTGCTATTATTTTATTTTCTTATTTATATATTGTATGAAATAGTTATCTAATAGTTCGATATATGCATTATAGTACTATTGATTAAGAATCTTTCTGAAGCGGAGTTTCTATTCTTTAATAATCTGAAGAATTTGTTCTAGTTCTCTGATAAAAAATCATTTATATTGCATCTTATCTGAGAAATGCATTCTGCAGCTATAATAAATGCAGGAGATTCAAGCTAGTTCGTAATATAGATTATAAAGTAAATCAATCCGAGAATCTTTATCTTATTATGCTTTAATATTTTGTAAGGAAATGCAGATGAAGAGCTTTTCTAATCCTATTTCATAAATGAGATATTTAATCTATATTATTTCCTTATTCTATTCAATATTAAAGAAGAATCTTCTTATAAGCTTCTTAAGTTTATTATTTATGAGAAACTCTAGTAAATCATTAGATCATTCGTTTTAGCTTAATCTTTCTGTTGCTTAAGAAGCGTTTTCAGTATTATTTAAATATTTATACTAATAATCAAAAGAGTATCATTCTTTGTTCATTTCTCTAATTATAATATCTGATACAAATGATGGAAAATAGCGAAGAATACTATTATTAAGCTCTTTCTCTAGCGCCTGAATGCTTTATTTAGTAATATTGAAGCAATCCGAGTTATTACTGCTTGTAGTTGTGCTGAGCATATACTCTCGCTCTGCTATCGCTATCTGCCTGCAGTATTTAGATTTCTGAAGAAACTATTCTGAATCTTTCTTATTCGAGAAATATATCAAGCAGTTATTATTATAGCAGAATATTCAGCTAAGACTTCTGTAATCAATAGAATTCAATACTTGCTCTAAGAAAGTATTTTTGCTCAGTTAATTGAATTTCTGTTATTAAGCAATATTCATCTAGCATTCTTTCTAAACTAATTACTATTTATTCTTTCGAAATTAATAGCAATTGTATATAATATATCCTTATTTATTGCAATTATAGCAAATAATATTATTTCTCTTGCTATATTATCTATTAGTAGCATTGAGTTTTATAGAATTAGTATATATAATGCTGCTTTAAACTATGCTATTATATTAATTGCTATTCTTATTTTGAAATTTCTTGCTTATATTAGCTGAAAATCTTTAAATCTAGCTTTCTTCCTTCTTAAACTTCTTTATTTATTATTCATACAGATAATTATTAATGCAAATAGCTTAATTAGAGAATATTGCAAAGTTCTCTAGCTAATTCTACTTAAAGATTTCATTTTTAATATTATTTTTAAGTTCTTTATAATAATGCTTTATAAGATTCTTATCTTTCTATAGGAATTGCATTAAGAGTTGCTTGAATCTAATTGTATAAGCAAAAGCTAACTTAGTTTACTTGAGATTTATAAGCTGCTAAGCTATAATGCATTCTTTGTTAGAATTATTAAAGATTTCCTTAAAAGCTTTTTTGAAGCTTTCAAAAGAATTAAATATATTCTTAATAATCTGAGTATGTATATCGAGATTATTCTGATACTTTAAGTAATTGTATAGAAAAAGCTTATACTAGATAAGAGCATTCTTTTTAAAACAAGTTTCTATAAGAATAATTTTCTC